CTGAAAGCGGCCTTCCCTTGAAGAACAAAGGCAAAGAAAATTGGCTCACCAACAGGAATTAAGTTGTAACAATACACTGCACAGAAATCAAGATCAGTTTGAAACTGGCTCACTCAGAAAAATATAGGATTCTGAAGAGGAAAACTGAATTATGTGAGGCCTTTGAATAGCGGCATTTTACTTTAAAAGGCTTTTGTGAAGGGATTTTAGTGCTTCTAGAAAGGCAGTAAAGGTGAAGCCCAGCCCAGGTGTCTGTCTCAACACCCCAAGTCTCCGGGAAGTCTCTCTGTAGACAGTGCATATTCAGTGGACTATATCTGTGTTTGTGCATGTGTGCATGTGTGTGTGTGTGTGTGTGTGTGTGTGTGTGTGTCATGTTTGTGTGTGAGTATTCCTGTGTTCACATAAACGTGAAAGCCAGAGTCTAGAAAATTTCAGACCAGATTTTCTCAACCTGGTTTCAAGCCCAGCAATGCCTCCCCTGCACCCCCTTCTCCAATCTTACTTGGGCTCCAACTCCAGGGGCAGCTTACTTCCAACCCTTCCTCCAGCCTGAGATCACCCAAGTACACGGTGTTTTCAGGAAGAATTCAGTTAGGCTTTGTGCTTGTCACTTTCCTGTTATTTGACAGGAGCCTAGGAACCAGAGACAAACTGTTCTAGGTCAAGACTACTGAGGGGTGGACAAGGATAGAGTCTGTGTTGCATAGAGTCACAGGAAAGAACCGACATACACTAGAATGGGGTGTGAGAGTGTTGGAGGAAGACCTGGTATCAGAAGGGACTGAGAGGGTTTACTAAATTGCAGTACCCCAAAGCAGTTGGCCTTGGCTTGAAGGCACCCTCCAGAGGCATGCCTGAAAGAGGGTGCCAACAGGGGCTGGCCCTTAAAAAGAGGCAGCAGACGAAGCCCAGAAGCCCTGTGGGAAAGACATGGGTGAAGTGGGAGGCACCAAGGTCTGGACCTCACTCAACAACCCTCTGACCTCCTGTTGATGCCTCCATTAACAGAATCCCAAGCAATCCAGGTGTCAGGGGAGCCTGATAGTGCGGTCCTTAAAGGTCAGCTAGGTGGAGAGGGCAGAGTAGGTAGAACATTTTAGAAGGGCAGGTGGGGGCTATCCCCTTGTGTTAGTGACTTTTCTCATTGTTGTGACTAAATCCCTTTCTAGAAACAATTTAAGGAAGGAAAGGTTTATTCTGATGTGCTGAATACCTTCAGTTGTCAACTTGACACATCTGGGAAGAGAGAACCCCAACTGGGGAATTACCTGTCAGATTGGCCTGTGGGCATATATAACGGTATTTTCTTAATTGCTAATTGATGTGCAAGAGTCCACCCCTGGGCAGGTGGTTCTGGGTTGTATAAGAAAGTAGGCTGAACATAGCCAGAGCAGCAAGCCACTAAGCACACTCCTCCATGGTCTGTGCTTCAGCTCCTGTCCCCAGGTTCCCTCCCTGAGCTCCTGCCCTGGCTCCCCTCCATGATGATATAGGATATAAGATGAAAGAAACCGTTTCTGCCCCAAATTGGCTTTGGTTAGTGTTTTATTACAGCAATAGAAAGTAACTAGGACACTTGGCTCACAGTTTGAGGGGATACACTCACTACAGTGGAAGATGGGGGAGAAGGCACTTGGCAGTAGAGGGAAGCTGACTGTTCACATCGCCTCTGCAGTCATGAAGCGGAGAGTGAACAGGAAGTGGAACCAGGCCCACCCCTCAGTGATCCACTTCCTTGGCATGTTTCCACAACCTCCTAAAGGTTCTACAACCTTTCCAAACAGCGCCATCATCTGGGGACCAACTATTCAAACACTTGGCCCTTGGGGGACATTGCATATTCAAACCACACCACCAGTCCAGGGTCATGTCCCAGAGGCCACAGACTCTTGGTCTCCAGCCAAGTGCAGTTGTTATAGGACACAACTTCTCTGGCCAATTTCAAAGTCCCACTTCCTGCTGGGAATACATGTTTGAACAAAGCCTTTATTCTCTATTTCAACAGCAGGGCTGGAATTTAAAAAGCTTCATTTTCAAGACTGGCTGGCTTTGGTCTGTTGAACCTGGAACTTACATTTTTTTAATCAAATAGAATTATTTAAGCAGAGCATTTCCATGATAAGCACAAAATGTTTTTATTTTTTATCCCCTCTCACAGTATTCCTACTCAGAATGTAAGGCCCACTCTGCGGCCAGCTCTTTAAACCCTGCCTGAAAGCTGCTGTTTTTCTTCTGGTCTGTCTCTTTGGCGTGTCAGTTTTTCAGGCTGGGGGGGTGGGGAGGGGCTCATCCAATGTCACGTGACCTGGAGAACATACCATTCTTGAGCAGTGTTCCTGCCTCTGACACCTTGACCAGGTTTGGCATCGCCATGTGCTGAGATCTAGATTCTTGATGACACTATTTTCATCTTGCCCCTACATCCCCCCTCTCCTTTCCTCTGGAAGCTCTCCTGTCTGAGATCAGCCTCTGTTCTCAGCTGCACTGGTCCCCAGTTCCAAGCCTGCATTCTTCTCTGTCTCAAATTCCTCTTGCCTTTCCTGCCATTTCATTGCCCTTCCTGGGAGCGCTAGTCAGAATTTGCTGTCCTAGGAAATCACACATGTACTGTCCTAGGTAGAGTGTGTCTTTGGGTGACACCCAAGCCCAGGTCTTCATGCCTTGGGACCCAGGTGTCAGAGAGCCTGCTGACTCTGGGAGGTAGCCTGTTGCTCATGGAAAGCCCATCTGAAATGGTTGAGCTGCTTTCCCACAGTTGGGAAGTGAGCTCAGAAAGACTGTAGATTCATGTTTTAGATATTTTCTATTGCAGTGATACAAACACTGACTGAAATCAACTTGGGGAGGAAAGCGTTTATTTGGCTTACAGCACAGTCCATCATCAAGGGAAGCCAAGGCAAGAACTCAGGGCAGGAACCCGGAGCACAGACCATGGAGGAATGCTGCTTACTGGCTTGCTCTCCTGGCCTATTGTTGGTTTGCTTTCTTATAGGTATGGGACCACCTGTCCACAATGGGCTGGGCCCTCCCACATTACCCAACAATCAAGAAAATGCCCCACAGACATGCCCACAGGCCAGTCCAAGGAGACAATTCCTCAGTTGAGGCTCCTAAGTAGGTGTGTCAAGTTGACAACTGAAGCAGTCCAGCTAGATCCCTGACATAAGCAGGTATGTCAGTTGGGAAACAAAGATCAGAGATGGTCTGGCTTATGTGGCTTCCATACAAATAAATAACAAATAGAAATAATATGGGTTCTCTCTAGATAGAATGAGGTAAATTCTGTCCCAAATGTTCAAATGAAGGTATGTAATAGGATACCTTCTATTGTTAGAGGGTTACAGGGCTGAGAGGAAGGTTATGACAGCTGACCATGTCTGGTGCAGGGTAGGAAAAGATGCAAACATGCTACAATGTATAAAATAACTGTCCGTCAGTCAGTGGTTAGTTCTAGGCCTTTGCTCAAACTTAATGGACAGAACAATTAATTCAGAGCTAAGAGAAATGTGGATCAACTCCATTCAAAGGCAGAATTCTCTAATCTTGAAAGATGCTGTGGGTGTGAGAGTAAGAGCATAATGAACACAGGGCAGGTGCATTCACAGGCCCAGGAATTGGGGGAATCAAAGCTGTTGTCTCAACTGGCTTTTCTGCAAGGAGACCAGCAGCTGTCTCCCCGTAGGATCCCTTGTCCCTGCTCTCCCTGCTCTCCCCTCTGCCTCCAAGAGTACTCCCAGGGCAAATAACTCTCCCTGTGCAGTGCAGTCAGGGTTCCACAGGGGTGGACAGAATTTCTTAAAAGCTGGATTCGAGCTCAGGAGATGGTGTAAGGGCTCCTGATAGGACTGAAAGTTATGACCCAAAGGGGGAAGTCCTAGAAAAACCTACGTTATCTCCAGGTACAGGTGTGCTGTGTACATGTATGCCTGTACCTATACAGACACTGGGTGCCTTCCAGATCGTTCTCAACCTTAGTGTTCTGGTTTTTTTTTCTTTTAAGTTTTATATTATTGTGTGTATGTGTACATATGTGTGTTAGTATGCATGCCACAGTGGTGTGAAGGTCAGAGGTAAAAGGGCAACACATGGGAATCTGTTCTCTCTTTCCACCATGTGAGATATGGGACTCCAACTTAGGTTGTCAACCTTGGTGGCAAGCACTTTTAGCAGCTGAGCCATCCGGCTGGCCCTCCACCTTAATTTTTGAGACAGGGTCTCTTGCTGAACCTGTAGCTCACCAATTTGGTTAGTCTGGTTGGCCAGCAAGCCCCAGGGACCAACCCCCCCATCTCCACTCCCCCAGCACTGGGATTGTAGGTGCATGCCCCCAGGCCTGGCTTTGTTTTACATGGGTGCTGGGTATCCAAACTCAGGTCTTCATGTGTGTATTACTTTACCAGCTAAGCCATCTCCCCAACCATCAATTCAAGTTTTAAATAAAATCCAATTTACACTGGATGTGTTTGAATGGAAGTTTCCCCAAGGAAAGTATAAACACACTAAGAAAAACCTGGCATAGCCCCTGAGCCAGGGTAAGGGCAACACTTTCGTATCACCTCTGACCTATCCAGAACTACTAATAACAAGTGGTATCTGGCAAACTAATAACAAGACACATACATCTCTCTCTTAGCCTCTGAGTAGATTTATAGGTGTGGTTCATTTTGGAGGCAAACTGACAATCTCATGGGGATGTGGAATGAAACTAGGTTATTACTTTATAAAGATAAAAACAAAAACAAATTGCCTTTTAGAAATTTTGTTTGGGAAGCCAAGAGAGGCATCTATCTACTCACTAGCTTAACCTCCAGTGGCCAAACTGTTTACTTAGGTGGGAAAGAGAAAGCTCCAGAACTCAGTACTGACCTCTGTTTCCATCCTCTGCCTCCGTCCTTTGCCAGAGATCATACGTCCCAGTGTAGCAGCGCTGACCTCCATTTGTACAAGTGCTCAGAGCCTTGCTATAGTTCCTCCTTCTTAACATAAACACCAATGCACACAGGTAACACCCAGCTTTTATTGATTTAATCGATATAGTAGAAATGTAGCAAGTCACTGGCAAGCAGTTACAAAATGTCCTATTTTCTATGTTTAAAATAAGTTTTCTTAAATAATCTACAGCAGCCAGAGTCACAAGAACACGTGAGGATGAAGTGCTTCGTCCACAATGCCTATGGTGATTTTGTTAGTAATCTAACAACATCTCTTGTTGCGAAGAACACCTATTTACAACCCTCCATCACTGTATTTGGCCTCTTGCCTTCCCTTAGAAATAACTGTGCCTAAATTTTAGAATTTGAAGTAAAACTGAGCAAGTGCACCCACAGCCTTGCAACTGCCCCTTAAACAAGCCAGGAATACCGAGTTGGTATGAGTTGCAGCAGGTCACAAGCATGGCGATGGCTGTCCCCATGCCACTTATGCTGCTTTGGAGATAACTAACTTCGGTTTTAAACTGATGTGAACACGTTGCAGGGCTCAGCAGAGCCAAAGGCTGAAAGCTCAGTGCAGTGCTGTCCTTGGCCCATCCCCACCCTCCGGTGCTAGAGGAGCCATTTGCTCTTGGACTGTTCAGCGCTGAACAGAGCCTTAGGGTTTCTTTTTGCCTCGAACCTGGCTGGAGGATTTGAGGGTGGATTTGCTCACTGCTCCCTGGCTTGCAGTCCCAGTGCTCTTCTCTGCTTCTCTCTTGACTTCAGAGGAGGTAGCTGCTGAATTTGAACCACTCGTGTCATTGTCGACTGCATCTGCCTTCTTGGCTGCAGGAGTGGACTACAAATGAAAGAAAAGGCCTAGATTAGTACCGAAAGTAAAACATCAAGGAGGCCAGAGACACAGTCATTCAAGACTTGCAGGGGAGAACATTCTCTAGATCTGGGGTAATCCAGGCCACACTGTCCAATTATTATGAAATGCCCCAAAAGCTCCTTTACCACCTTCAAGCTTGGTTGAGCAAGCCATGTGCATGCAATTTCAAAAGCCTCTGCCATGCAAAACTGCACTACTACAGGCCTGGCAAGGTCTAAACAGGGAAGTCCACCTGACACAAACATTTCCTCTTTCCATCCTCCCAGACTTCCAGGTCAGGCATTTACTGGGACACTCAGATGAGTACGCCATGATTACACTTCTTAACCTGGGCACCAAGTGGCTGGATCTGGCCTGCTCTCACTCACACACTCCACCCTCCTGCATTTATTCCAGGGACAGGGCTCTTAAACCAGTCACCAGTGGGAAGCTTCGTAGACCTTTTCAAGTCTCAATTCCACATTTGTGACTGGTTAAAGGGGCAGGGCCTGGGGAGTAGATAACATTTGCATCCTTACTGCAGGAAGTAATGACAGAAAAGAACTGAGAAGGTGGCTAGAGTAGGGCGAGAAGGTCACAGCAGGAAAGCAGCAGTCAGAGGTGACCCTGTGTCATGTCCTCAGGTCACCCCGTTCCATAGAACATGAGGAAATGGCCTAGAATCCTGTGGTCACCAGAAAGGCAGGGTTCACTCGAACCTCAGGTTCATTTAATGAAACTGGGCGAGAGTTTTAAAAGCAAGGACTGCCCCAGGACTTACAAAGCATGCTACCTCCACAGAGCGATCCCAGGAAGGACACGAGTTTGACATTCTTGATAACTGGGGACCATTTGCAGTGCATGGGAAAAGATCCCACACAGTAAAACACAAATTGGTCCTTCATCCTCCTGCCTCTTGTGATAATAACTTTTTACTTCACATACATTTGCCCAAATGATACATGAATTGGTAGGGGTGTAGCGAAACTTGAGGTCATTTCCACCCTTTGGTACCCATATTTCAAGTTAAAGATGTCCCTGGTGTGTGGGTGTGTGTTTGCTGCGGACAACCCTTCTACATGTACCTCTTCAGAACATCACTCATGCCTCACTTTACAAGTATGTGCTTATACAATGCATATCTTGTATCCTGAACAACTTGTGTACATTTTAAAATGTAAAATGATAGTTTTCTTAACCCTTCCCTTCAAGAAAATGTGCCAGTGGCTTCTGTTGTGTTCTTCCAAGAAACAGAAGTTATTTTAAAGTCTTTACCATCCACTAAGGTAGCTCATGCCCTCCTGCCGAAAACGTCCATTAACAGGTGCAGAAACAACATCCTGACAGTCTGGTACCTGGCTGAGGATATTTGTTTCCTTTAATACAGTTTCAGTCTCTGGGACATGGAATTTTCAATTTATAAAATTTAATTAACTTTACATACAAATCCTATCCGAAGGAGAAACTAACTGCAACCCTCTGTCCCATTTGACATTTCAGCTTGGACTCTGAGTGGTTGAGGAAATGTTTTACAATGTTGTCTACTACAATAATGTTCTGTGATACGGGAGTAGAGACTTGATCATTTGCCTTTAAACGTGCTTATGTTCATATCTGGTTGAAAATTTCCATTCTCCAATGTTCCATTTTTATTGGTTTTTTAAAAAAAGATTACATTGATTGATTGGTTGACTGACTGATTGTGGAGGGTGTGAATATGCTACCATGCATGTGTGGGGATCAGAGGACAACTTGCAGGGGTTGGTTCTCTTCTTCCACCATGTGGGTTCTGGGGACCACACTTGGGTCATCGGGTGCAGCAGCCTCGACCTGCTGCCATCACGCTGGCCCTACTTTTCCACTTTTAATGCATTTGACTCAGAGGCCACAGTCACCAGGAAGAAATGTTGTATCTCTATGGACAGGGATAGCAATGTAGACTTTTCCCCCTCCAACTCCATATGTTCTGGTATTTTCTTCTTGAATATATCATATTATTATTACTGGAATTTTCTGAAAAAATGTGGTCAAAAAAAGGAAACAGAAATGTCTAGCTGGTTTTAGAGTAGAAACATATTTCTGTTTCATTATGCAGCAAGATGAGGAAAATTACATTCCTCAGCCACATGTATTTATAATTTTAGTGATTTAAAAAAACATGTAGTATGTACTCATGACTTAATATCCATAAATCTCTTCCTTGCCTCCTAGTTAACACAATCTCGTCCCCATAAAAAGTAGCCAATGTGGTCAATTTACAGTATACCCTATTAGAAAGGTTTTACATATCACAAAGCAAATATATCCAGTTAATAGAATTGGCTGTCATTCGATTGTCATATCCATTGGTTGCAGGTCAAAACCTCAGATTGTTCAATTTAATTCATTTCCTTAAGCTTTCTTTTACAAATGGTAGTGCTCTGCAAATATTCTTCTACACCTTGTTTGTTTGTTTATTTATTTTTGGTCTTTTTGAGACACGATCTGCCTGTAGCTCCAGCTGACCTGGAACTCACTATGTAGACCAGGCTGGCCTTGAGTTCACAGAGATCCGCCTGCCTCTACCTCCTGAGTGCTGGGACTAAAGGCATGTACCACCAAGCCTGGTTTACACCCTGATTTTTTTAAGAAATAAAACTATTTATTATCTTGAAGATTACTCTATCAATTCACAACGTATTCATTCTTTTTTTCGGCTGGGCAGTAAGTCTCGTTTGGGTAGACCATAGTTTATTTGACAAGTACCTTCACAACAGACATTCTTGTTGTTTCTGATCTTTTACTAGTACTACCAGTGCTGATATGAACAGTCTTGGACTTGTGTAATTTTGTGTGTGTGCACTAAATTTATAGGACATATATCTTAAAAGTGAGATTCCAAGGCAGTTATATCAATTAATCCTCTCACTCCCAACACAGAATGCTTGTTTTCTTTTTTTCCCGTCAATTTGGTATTTAATATATATTAAAACTGATAATAGTCAACCATAGTTTTTACAGATTTACTTGTGTGTGTGTGTGTGTGTGTGTGTGTGTATGTCTGTTTGTACACATGAGTGCAGGAACCCATGGAGGCCAAAAGAGGGTATTAGATCCCCTGGAGCTGGAGTTCCAGGCAGTTGAGCCACCTGCTGTGGATGCTGGGAACTGAACTTGCATCCTCTTAGCCATCTTGCCAGTCCTGACAAACATTTTTCAGTGAAGCCTCAGGAGAGGCCTCTAACTAGCTACACTGAAACAGCCAGGAAATCTATGTGTCCCTTTCTGCCCGGCAGCATCACACCTTTATGCAGGTGTTTACTGCATGTGTTTCTGTGGCTGTGGACCAGACCCTGTGTTCCTTACCATCTCTCTTTGCTTATCTGTAGTTGCATTGAGGTTATCACTGTTTAGGAAGCTGAATCCCAATGGTTTTTCTAGAGTCCGAGCCTCCCGTCTGCCTCCTTGCTGGACCTGCCTCTGATGCTACCTCATCACAGGTACAAAACCTTCATATTGGGGTCCTGTAGGGCAGGTGCCCTTCACAGGGAGTCAAGTCTCTTATCTCCTTGGGATGTAAATGGCCCAGGCAAATTCCAGCTCCCAGGGTTTTTCTAAAAGTGTGCAAGTCTTCATTTTTCCAGAATTTCTCTTGTCAGGTCACAGATCCTCTGAGCCTGGGACTTCTGTCTTTCTTCCCCCATAGCTGGTAGACTCCTCTGGGATCTGTGCGGTCACTGATACAATATGACAGTTTTGTGAGTAATAGGACAGAGAAATGAAAAGTGAAATTGCCAACACTGTGAGATCTTGCAGGTCACAAAAGGCAAACAGAAGGAAGAGGGGCTCCCCTAAGCCTGCACAGAGCGGGAGAAAGAGGGCAGAGGAATTCTGCATTCGGTTCTAGGGGAGAGATCCTAGATGACCATCAGGAGACTACAGGCTACCTATGCCAGTCCAAGAGAGGACTGAAAACTCACTGTAGACCGTGCACTGCAGACGGTGCATCTAAAGCAGTGGCAAGATAACCTGCTGCCATCAGAAAGCTCCGCAGTATCAGGAACTCCCTGGATCCTTACAGAGACCATTGCGAGGTCACAACATCATGAAAGGATATAAGGGACCAGAGTAGCTTCAGCAACTGGCTACTAATATGACTACAGGTAGGGATTTCTTTAGAAGAGAGATCTGTGACCTAAAAAGATATAGGAAAGACTGTATTTTAAAAACTTTGGGCTAGGGAGATGACTCAGTGAATAAAAGGCTTGCTGTACAAGTGTGAAGACCAGCTTTCAGATCCTCAGAACCCCTGGAAAAGCTGGGCAGGCATGACAACTGCCTGAAATCCCAGCACTTGGGAGGCAGAGCCAGGAATCCCTGGAGCAAGCTGATTAGTTACAGTGGCAGGAGCTGGCAAGCTCAGGGTCAGTGAGAGACCCTGCCTCGATGAATAAAGTGGAGTGTGGTCGAGGAAGATGCCCCATATCAACTTCAGACCTCCCCATGCACCCCCCACATGTACTCACACATATGCAAACACAGATACACACAAACATGCACACCATACGCATATATATACAAAAAAATTAAAGGAAAAATGAAAAAAATAAAAACAACAAATTAAAATGGTCAGTTCGAGTGCCACATGAGGGCTGCTTCCTGGTGGCATTTCAGGGATTCGTCATCTGCACAAGCTGACCACTGAAGACATGAAGAACAGTCAGTCCTGGAAGACAGAGTGATGGAAAGATGGCCTCACAAGCTTCCCCGATTTCTCCTTTTGTAATTCAGCACCCTTGACCTGATTTACACAGCTCAGATTATTAATCACAGGAAAGGGGGTCTATGTGTGCAGGGGAAGATATGTAACAAGAAACTAGGCTGGATCCACACATTGCACCACTCACTGGCATAACTTTCACCTAATGAACTTATCTGGTGCTAATGGATACAAAACCTATGAGCTCTCGGCACACCCCTGCAAGTTAATGCCAGAGCATGATTAC